AAGCAATATAGCAATGTTCAAAAGAGAAATGTCCCAACATTGTCTCATTCAAAAACTCTCAGGTGAAAATCATTTTCTAGATCTCTTTATGGGGAGAGAGAAGTATAACTATGCATACTTAGTAAAGAGGGAGGGAAGAAGGGAAAGAGAAGAAGAACTCACAGAGTAGAGGATAATGTCAGATATGGCTCTGCTCCGGGAGCCCAGCAGTGAGTTAGGAGACCTGGTCCTGCTGTTCACTCAGCTGCAATCCGTCCTCCTGAGTCTCCTGTGGGCATTTTGTCACCCTAGTTGGGGGGGGGTCCCTTTCCTTAAAGATATTTATTTTTTTCTTCAACATGGGCCCCAGGTCACGTCTGGTACTGAACCAAAGAAACGGTATTCTCCTAGCAAGAGAAACAAAACAACTAGTTATGTGATTTATTGATAGATGAGATACATATTAGTCTCCAATATGCCAGTGACACTGTATTAATCAGGGTTCTCTAGAGGGACAGAACAAATAGGATAGATGTACATATAAAAGGGAGTTTATTAAAGAGTATTGACTCACACCATTGCAAGGTGAGGTCCCACAATAGGCCATCTGCAAGCTGAAGAGCAAGGAAGTCAGTCCAAGTCCCAAAGCTAAAGAACTTGGAGTCCGACATTCAAGAGCAGGAAGCATCCAGCACAAGAGGAAAACAGAGGCCAGAGACTAAACCAGTCTAGTCTTTCCACATTCTTCTGCCTGCTTTTATTCTGGCCCCACTGGCGGCTGATTGGATGGTGCCCACTCAGACTGAAGGTGGGTCTGCCTCTCCTAGTCCACTGACTTAAATGTTAATCTCCTTTGGCAACACCCTCACAGACACACCCAGGATCAATACTTTGCATCCTTCAATCCAATCAAGTTGACACCCAACCATCAAAGCCACCCAATAAAAAGAAAATTTGAGTTATATATGTAATTTAAAACTTTTTCCTAACCACACCCAGAGTAAAGAGAAGTAGGTGAAATTAATTTGAATAATATATTTTCTTTAACCCAGTGTATCCTAAGTATTATCAATTTATTATGTTAACATATTTACACATATTGACATGTATTCAACATTAAAAATGATTAATAAGCTATTTCATATTCCTTCACTTTTACTAAGCCATGGAAGTTCAGTGAGTACTTTAGAGCACACCTCAATGGGGAACTAAAGTTTCATGGAGAATAGTTGATCCTTACTTAGACTTCAGACCATTGCATTTGAAAGAGTTCAATGGACAGATCTAAGTTGTTCCAAACCTACTTAAGAATTTTTCCAATAACTGAATCAGGCTTCTGTTTTTAAGTTCACATTTAAATAAATTAAAATTAAATAAAATTTAAAATTTAGTTCCTCAGTCTCATGGGCCACATTTTAAGTGCTCAAAAATCCCTGTGGCCAGCCGGCTGCTACAACCACACAGCTTTCTAACATCCTTTAAAAGCAATTGAAAGACATTTTGCAAGTGTTACAGAAAAGGGGTCCTGATCCAGACTCCAAGAGAGAGTACTTAGATCTCCTGCCCAACAGGGTTCGGGCAAGTCCCTAAAGTGAAAGCATGGTTATTAAGAAAGCAGAAAAATAAAAGAATGGCTGCTCCATAGACAGAGCAGCCCTGAGGGCTGCTGGTTGCCCATTTTTATGGTTATTTCTTGATTACATGCTAAACAAGGTGTGCCTTATTCATGCCTCCCCTCTTCAAACCACACAGGGTAACTTCCTGACGTTGCTATGGCATCTGTAAACTGTCACGGTGCTGGTGGGAGTGTAGCAGTGGCAATAACCAGAGGTCACTCTCATCACTATCTTGGTTTTGGTGGGTTTCGGCTGGCTTCTTTACTGCAACCTGTTCTATCAGCGTGGTCTTCATGACCTGCATCTTGTGCCGACCTGCTGTATCATCCTGTGACTTGAAATGCTTTAACCGTCTGGGAACACAGCCCAGTAGGTCTCAGCCTCATTTTACCCAGTCCCTATTCAAGGTGGAGTTTCTCTGGTTCACGCTCCTCAGACACAAGGGCAGTTTTGACTGGGATACAAGCAGCAAATGATTCGAATTTGTCACCCAATCCCTGAAGACACAACTCTACTGTAAATTTAGTTTTACCTAAATTTAGTCGTTAAATCATTTAGTTAAATTCTGAGCATCCGCTGTGAAGGAGGCCTTGTTTCTCTGGGCCATCCATCCAAGAGGGCCAGGATGGTTAGTGAGAAATGGGATCATCTCAGAGGTATGTGCTGGGAAGAAAGCAAAGCAGGATGGCTCTGCAGAAGACAACTTAGGCCAGAGTTCAGGTCATATCTTTCCACTGAGATGTTTGAGGGGAGGCCTGAAAGACAACGAGTCAGCAGTTTGAGTTTTGGGTAACAGTATTCCCAGCAGACGTTGCTGGGTCCAGGGTCAGGAAGCCCAAGGCCAGCAAAACCACAGTGAGGGCAAGAGAGAGCAGTGGAACACTGGGCTGGAGGGGCTGCAGGTGCCCAGCTGGGCACCAAGTCTCTGTGCCATTTGGATTTTGTTCTAAGCTCAATGAAAAGGCATTGGAAGGTTTTAGGCTGGAGCTATTATTAGATTTAGATTGTACAAAGATCCTCTGGCTGCTGGACAGGAAAGGCCAAGAAGCCACTGTGTTGGTTTAAGTGAAAGAGAATGGGTCAGGGAGATAGGAGGGGAAAAAGAAAGAGGCATGTGGACTTGAGACGTATTTGGAGGTAGGGCATCCTGGGCTTGCAGACAGTTGCACATGAGAGTCAGGAAAGTGTTGACCTGCAGGTGCTGGACTCAAGCCGCTTGATAGGTGGCAGTGCTATTTACAAGCTAGAAAACACTATGTGTGTGTGGGATGGGTGGCAGGTGTGGAGAGGGTGACTCAATAATTGCATTTGGGGCATGAGTAGAGATGCCCTAAGAGATCCAAATGGAGATATTACTAAGCTATCTGGAGCTCAGAGGAGAGGTCAGGGCTAGACAGATTTAGGAATCACCAGCAGGTAAGTAGCATTTGGTGGTGTGGGATTAAATTACATTGCCTAGGAAGAAAATACAGTGAACGGAGTATGGCCCAATAGGAACAGCTCCGGAGTGCAGTTCCCAGCAAGAACAACACAGAGGGTGAGTGCTCACCGCATTTCCAAACAAGTTTTCACTGCCCACAGACCAGGAAATTCCCAGGCCAAAAAGTGCCATGAGTTTTCAGTATGGCTGGTGCCACGGGTTGGCACACAGAAACTCACACAAATCTAGGCAGGCATTTCAACTGGCACCTGGAACACCTGGGAGACAGAGCCACCCATTGAACTGGAAGGGAGGGGGCTGAGACAGGGAGTCAGGCAATCTGGCTCGGCAGGTACCATCCCCACAAAACAAGCAATCTGAAATGCTCAGGATTGAGAGTTTTGCAGCAAGTGCAGCTGGACCCAGGATGGTCCAGCTCAGTGTGGGGAAGGGCGTCCTCCACTACGCAATGCAGTCTGCCAACGCAGTCCGCCAATGCAGACTGAGACAGTTCACACAGCAGCTGGGCAGAGCCTGTGGCAGCTCAGCAATACCTCTGCTGGCAGACTGTGACTAGACTACACCATGCAGGGCAGGGCATCTCTGGAAAAAATGCAGGACCATGTCAAGAACTTATAAATAAAGCTGACCTTCCTAGGTCAGAGCACCTGTGAAAAGAGGCAGTTGTGAGTTCCGCTGCAGCAGACTTAAAGGTACCTGACCGGCAGCTCTGCATGGAACAATGGAGCTCCCAGCACAGCACTTGGTCTCCTATAAGGGGCAGACTGTCTCCTCAAGCAACTCCCCAACCCCTGTATACCCAAGAGACAACTCATAAAGTAGAGCTCAGGCCGACATCTGGCCAGTACCCTTCTGGGACGAAGACAACAGAAGAAGAAACTGGCAGCAACCCTTACTGTTCTGCAGCCCCTGCGGGTGATCCCCAGGCAAGGAGGGCCTGGAGTGGACCTCAGCAGTCCTGCAGCAGAGGGGCCTGTTAGAAGGAAAACTAAGAAACAGAAAGAAATAACTTCATCATCAACAAAAAGGACATCCACTCAGAGACCCCATCCGAAAGTCACCAACTACAAAGACCATAGGTAGATAAAGCCACTAAGATGGGAAGAAACCAGTGAATAAATGATGAAAACACCAAAAACCAGAATGCCTCTCCTCCTCCAACGGATCACAACTCATCACCAGCAAAGGAGCAAAGCTGGATGCAGAATGAATCTGATGAATTGACAGAAACAGGCTTTGGAAGGTGGGTAATAACAAACTTCTTAGAGCTAAAAGAACATGTGCTAACCCAATGCAAAGAAACTAAGAACCTAGAAAAAAGGTTAGACGAGATGCTAACTAGAATAAGTCTCTTACAGAGGAATATAAACGATCTGATGGAGCTAAAAAACACAGCACGAGAACTTCGTGAAGCATACACAAGTTTCAATAGCCAAATCGATCAAGTAGAAGAAAGGATATCAGAGATTGAAGATCAACTCAATGAAATAAAATGAGAAGGCAAGAACAGAGAAAAAAGAGTAAAAAGAAATGAACAAAGCCTCCAAAAATATGGGATTATGTGAAAAGACCTAATCTACATTTGATATGTGTACCTGAATGTGACAGAGAGAATGAATCTAAGCTGGAAAACACTCTTGGGGATATTATCCAGGAGAACTTCCCCAACCTAGCAAGGCAGGCCAACATTCAAGCCCAGGAAATACAGAGAACACCACAAATATATTCCTCAAAAAGAGCAACCCCAAGGCACATAATCATCAGATTCACCAGGGTTGAACTGAAGGAAAAAATGCTAAGGGCAGCCAGAGAGAAAGGTCAGGTTACCCACAAACAGAAGCCCATCAGACTCACAGAAGATTATCTCCACAGAAACCCTACAAGCCAGAAGAGAGTAGGGGCCAATATTCAACATCCTTAAAGAAAAGATCTTTCAACCTAGAATTTCATATCCAGCCAAACTAAGCTTCATAAGCAAAGGAGAAATAAAATCCTTTACAGACAAACAATTGCTGGGAGATTTTTGTCACCATCAGGCCTGCCTTACAAAAGCTCCTGAAAGTAACACTAAACAAGGAAAGGAACAACCAGTATCAGCCACCCCAAAAATGTACCAAATGGTAAAGACCATTGACACAATGAAAAAAATGCATCTACTAACAGGCAAAACATCCAGCATGCATCAAAATGGCAGGATCAAATTCACACATAACAATATTAACCTTAAAAGTAAATGGGCTAAATGCCGTAATCAAAAGACACAGACTGGCAAACTGGATAAAAAGTCAAGACCCATCAGTGTGCTCTATTTGGGAAACCCATCTCACATGCAAGGACACACATAGGCTAAAAATAAAGGGATGGAGGAAGATTTATCAAGCAAATAGCAAAAAAAAAAGCAGAAGTTGCAATCCTAGTCTCTGATAAAATGGACTTTAAACCAACAAAGATCAAAAGAGACAAAGAAGGGCATTACATAATGGTAAAAGGATCAATGCATCAAGAAGAGGTAATGATCCTAAATGGATATGCACCCAATGCAGGAGCACCCAGGTTCATAAAGCAAGTTCTTAATGACTTACAAAGAGACTTAGACTCCCACACAATAATAGTGGGAGACTTTAACACTCCACTGTCAATGTTAGACAGATCAATGAGACAGAAAATTAACAAGGATATCCAGGACTTAAACTCAGATCTGGACCAAGTAGACCTAATAGACATCTACAGAACTCTCTACCCCAAATCCACAGAATGTACATTCTTCTCAGCATGGCATTGCACCCACTCTAAAATTGACCACATAATTGGAAGTAAATCACTCCTCAGCAAATGCAAAAGAATGGAAATCATAACAAACAGTCTCTCAGACCACAGCGCAATCAAATTTGAACTCAGAATTCAGAAACTAACTCAGAACTGCACAACTTCATGGAAACTGAACAACCTGCTCCTGAATGTTGACTGGATAAACAATCAAATGAAGGCAGAAATAAAGATGTTCTTAGAAACCAACGAGAATGAAGACACAACATACCAGAATCTCTGGGACATATTCAAAGCAGTGTCTAGAGGGAAATTTATAGCAATAAATGCCCACCAGAGAAGCGAGGAAAGATCTAAAATCAACACCCTGTCATCAAAATTGAAAAAGCTAGAGGGACAAGATCAAAAAAACTCAAAAGCTAGCAGAAGACAAGAAATAACTAAGATCAGAGCAGAACTGAAGGAGATAGAGACACAAAAAACCCTTTAAAAAAATCAATAAATCCAGGGGCTGTTTTTTTGAAAATATCAACAAAATAGACAGACCGCTAGCCAGATTAATAAAAAAGAAAAGGGAGAAGAATCAAATAGATGCAATAAAAACGAAACAGGGGATATCACCACCAATTCCACAGAAATACAAACTACCATCAGAGATTACTACAAACAACTCTATCTACATAAACCATTAAACCTGGAAGAAATGGATAAATTCCTGGACACTTGCACCCTCCCAAGCCTAAACCCTGAAGAATTTGAAACCTTGAACAGACCAATTACAAGGGCTGAAGTTGAGGAAGCAATTAATAGCCTACCAACCAAAAAAAAGTCCAGGTCCAGATGGGTTCACAGCTGAATTCTACCAAATGTACAAAGAGGAGCTGGTACCATTCCTTCTGAAACTATTCCAAACAATACAAAAAAAGGGAATCCTTCCCAAATGATTTTATGAAACCAACATCATCCTGATACCAAAACCCAGCAGAAACTCAACAAAAAAGAAAACTTCAGGCCAATATTCCTGATGAACATCAATGAAAAAATCTTCAATAAAATACTGGCAAACCAACTGCAACAGCACATCAAAAAGCTTAATCATCACGATCAATTAGGCCTCATCCTGGGGATGCAAGGCTGGTTCAACATACGCAAGCCTATAAATGTAATCCACCACATAAACAGAACCAAAGACAAAAACCATATGATTATCTCAACAGATGCAGAGAAGGCCTTTGACAAAATTCAACAGCACTTTATGCTAAAAACTCTCAATAAACTAGGTATTGAAGGAACATATCTCAAAATAATAAAAGCTATTTATGAAAAACCTACACCCAATATCATACTGAATAGGCAAAAACTGGAAGCATTCCCTTTGAAATCTGGCACTAGACAAGGATGCCCTCTCTCACCACTCCTATTCAATATAGTATTGGAAGTTCTAGCCAGAGCAATTAGGCAAGAAAAAAAAAAAAGGGTATTCAATTAGGAAAGGAGAAAGTCAAATTGTCTCTATTTGCAGACAACATGATTCTATATTTAGAAGACCCTATCATCTCAGTCCAAAATCTCCTTAAATTGATAAGCAACTTCAGCAAAGTCTCAGGATACAAAATCAATGTGCAGAAATCACAAGCATTTCTATACACTAATAACAGACTAACAGAGAGCCAAATCATGAGCGAACTCCCATTCACAATAGCTACAAAGAGAATAAAATACCTAGGAATACAACTAACAAGGGATGTAAAGGACTTCTTCAAGGAGAACTACAAACTACTGCTCAAGGAAATAAGAGAGGACACAAACAGATGGAGAAACATTCCATGCTCACAGTTAGGAAGAATCAACATTGTGAAAATGGCCATACCGCCCAAAGTAATTTATCGATTCAATGCTATCCCCATCAAGCTACCAATGACCTTCTTTACAGAAATGGGAAAAAACACCTTAAACTTCATATAGAACCAAAAGAGAGCCCACATAGCCAAGACAATAGCAAAAAGAACAAAGCTGGACATATCATGCTACCTGATTTCAAAGGTACAGTAATCAAAATACTACAATACTACAAAGGTACAGTAATCAAAACTGCATGGTACTGGTACCAAAACAGAGATATAGACCACTGGAACAGAACAGAGGCCTTGGAGGCAACGCCACGTATCTACAACCATCTGATCTTTGACAAACCTGACAAAAACAAGCAATGGGGAAAGCATTCCCTGTTTAATAAATGGTGTTGGGAAAATTGGCTAGCAGTGTGCAGAAAGCAGAAACTGGACCCCTTCCTGACACCTTACACTAAAATTAACTCCAGATGTATTAAAGACTTAAACATAAGACCTAACACCATAAAAACCCTAGAAGAAAACATAGGCAAAACCATTCAGGGCATAGGCATAGGCAAGGACTTCATGACTGACACACCAAAAGTATTGGCAACAAAAGCCAAAATACACAAATGGGACCTAATTAAATTCCAGAGCTTTTGTACAGCAAAAGAAACAATCATTAGAGCGCACCGGCAACCAACAGAATGGGAAAAATTTTTTGCCATCTACCCAACTGACAAAGGGCTAATATCCAGAATCTACAAAGAACTAAAACAGATTTGCAAGAAAAAAAAAAAAATCCATCCAGAAGTGGGTGAAGGATATGAATACTTTTCAAAAGAAGACATATATGAGGCCAATAAACATATGAAAAAATGCTTATCATCACTGATTATTAGAGAAATGCAAATCAAAACCATATTGAAATACCATCTCAAAAAATCTGTAGACAACAGATGCTGGAGAGGATGTGGAAAAAGAGGAACACTTTTACATATTTGGTGGGAGTGTAACTAGCTCAACCATTGTGGAAGGCAGTGAGGCGATTCCTCAAGGACCTAGAAATAGAAATTCCATTTGACAGGCCGGGCACGGTGGCTCAAGCCTGTAATCCCAGCACTTTGGGAGGCCGAGGC